GCGTGTGCTCTAATACCATCTTGTAGCGACCAGACATCAAACAGTCTAGTCTCTGTGCATCTGTGTCATACCTGTATCGGTAATGCTGACACGCACAGTACTTGAGGATTTATAACAGAGTTTCAATCACACACTTATTACATTGAATGTCTCAAAAGAGAACTTATTACAATAAATATGGCTTATGGCCATCTAAAAACGATAACAGCGGAAGGCTTGGAAGATAACGTGAGTCCATCAACTCCAACGGCATAGCTGAGTGAAAGACAACGACCTATGGCACCTTACTCGTCGTCTGAAAAGTCTGCAACATGAAACGTGCAGCCCGGAACAGGTCAGCACATGGAATATGATGGCAATGTAACACATAGAGTAATGAACTGAATAAATGCTACCACTACATGCATATGTGGCTGGTGGAAAGCTTTATGGTTACAGTTTTGCATAAAGCTAATTTTTTCCTACAACAAAGGAATAAATATTATTTAACTATCATGGTGGTTGATAAACATTGAGAAGGTTCCTCTAACTCAATCCCAATTAAACATCATCATTAAACCCAATCAAATTAAATTTAGAGTGATGAGATCAACATGATAATCCAAGAACCAGATACTCAAGATGTCCATAACCGGGGACACGGCTAACCATGATTAGTTTGTACACTCTACAGAGGTTTGCGCACTTTTCCCCACAAGACTCGAATACATCCATGGTCTGAGATTCGAGACACAGTCTTTCTGAAGCATTAACTCTCCACTCTGGATAGATAGTACCACCTACAACCCACTACATTGCTAGTCTACCTCTTCAAGAGCTTCACACAACTTACTCAACTATGCCAGAGCCCATATTGGCTTGTGGCTGCACACGAAAGTTTCTAGCATGAATAATCTTATGATCCCTTTGAGCCTGGGTGGCGGACCGTAGGATGATCACACGGGTACTCCGGGATATCCTAGGACAACACTGGATTCTCCACGTGCCCTGACAACCACTGGGTACTCCAGGGTGCCTCAAGCAATCCACCCAGATGTGTATTTAAGTAGCCACCTTAAGTTAACCATTAAGTAACAATACTCACATCTGTCATGGATACACTCACCCAAACCACATTTATGAGCATAGCATAGCAATATAAGCATAACGTAGAAGTAACTCCCAAAGGTTTGCTAATAAACAGGCAATAGGTACTACCTCAATCTACTTCCCAAAACCCACATGTTAATTAGATCATAACCATGCAATGTTTGAGGGTTGATCTAATGCAATAAAAACTGGGTAGTAAAGGGGTATGATCAAAGTGTTACTTGCCTTGCTGATGATTCGCAAAACCTAGAGACTCGTAGTAGCACGCTTCGCACTCCGGGTACTCTATCGCAAACAAACAAAGCATACAATAAGCACTCTACTAAAAGCACCGATAAAACTCACATAAGAGATCTAACCGGAAAGTTCAACTTAAGAACTCCAGTTTGCAAAAAGAATCAAATCAAACGAAGCAACGACACTCAAACTGCGAAAGAAACAAGATATGTTTACTAATCTGGACTAGTGTCAAATTTTACAGTACCAAAATCTTGTTCGAGTTGTTTAAACATAAATAGGGCTTCGAGACGAAGATCTAGGCGCTTGAATCTCCTGATTCCGATAAACGAGCGAAAAGATAAACTAAAACGAAGATCAGGGCAGAAATCACGATCGAAAATAACCGCGGAAAAACCCTGGAAAAAGAAAAACTGACGAACAGGCTAACGAACGAACGTTCGCTATCTGCGGCTAACGGGTGAACACCGTTCGTTAAAATGAACGTACGGACGAACGTCTGCTATTTAACTAAACCGAGAAAACCGAACCAATCTAATAAAAAACGAATCTAGGGTTTACGAAATAAAACCGATCGGTTTAAAAAAACCAACGGCTACCTCGGCAAACGTGTCGGCGCAGGCGGCGGGAACTCCGGTGGGGCGGCTCCGGCGGCGACGGCAGGGTCGGCGGCGGGCGACGTGAGGCGGCGGTGTCGGCAGCGGCAGCGGCGAGACGGCGCGGCGGCGGCAGCGGATCGGGGCTAGGGTTTGGGGTTCGGCGGGGTGGGCTGGCAGCTCGGGGCTGCGGCTCTTAAAGGGCCGGCCGGGGCAGTGTCCCACGCGGACACGGCCCGGTAAGGCGGTTCGTTTTTTTTTTGTTTGTTTTTTTAATATTCCGACGCGCAGAAAAACAAATAAAAGAAATACTAAACGGACTCCAAAAATCCTAAAATAAATTTTCCCCATCCTCTAAAAATACAACGGAGAAAGTGAACATTTATTTGGGCCTCTAATACAATTTTGAAAAAACACATTTTTTTCCTAATTCAAATAAAATAGCAATAAAACTCCGAATAAAATACTTATTTGATTTTAATATTTAACCTTCAATATTTCTTTATTTTGGGGAAGTCATTTTATCCCCTCTCTTTTATTTTCATATTGGAAATATTCGAAGAGAAAAATAATTAAAACCAAATGATCCTCTTTTCAAAATTTGAGAAAACTCAAATATGAAAATAACGAAATCCCCAACTCTCTCCGTGGGTCCTTGAGTTGCGTAGAATTTCTAGGATCAACCAAAAATGCAATGAAATATGATATGCAATGATGATCTAATGTATAACATTCCAAATTGAAAATTTGGGATGTTACATGGTGCTACTCTCGTCTACCTCAGGAAGGCCTCAACCGTGTCATCTGCCATCGTCCACCGTCATACCACACCATCGACTTGCTCCAGCCGCCATTCGAGGAACCCTTATCTGTCAACTCCTCGTCGGCGGCCCCTTTTCCCCTGTAGCAGCTTGACCTAGTTCGTGCTCAAGCTGTCGTGGCCACAGTAGTAGGCGGCAAGGTTGCTACAACAAGGCCGACGTCTAAGAATCATCGGCGAACCTTGTGTGGCAGCTCCAAATCGTGCCCACGGGAGCTCTCCTTCCAAAGGGGTCTTCTTCCTCCACCTTCCCCCGAGTACACCTCCTCCTCCCATCTTCTTTCTCTAAGC